CTGATCCTGATCCTGATCCCAGGGCTGATCCTGATCCTGATCCTGATCCTGGGGCTGATCCTGATCCTGATCCCAGGGCTGATCCTGATCCTGATCCTGGAGCTGTCCCTGATCCTGATCCTGATCCTGATCCTGTTCCCGGGGCTGTTCCCGAGGCTGTTCCTGTTCCCGGGGGTCCCCACAGGGTTCTGCCCCCGGGGTTCCCTCTGCTCCAGCCCATCCCTGTTTAACCAGGGCACATTCCCGGGCTCCAGGTGCTTCCCGATGGGAATGCGCTCATTAACACCAGGGGGTTAATTGATCATTTTTGCCCTCCCCTTTGTCCCCCACACCGAAATTCCTAAAGGGGGTTTTGCTCCCTGTTCCCGTGGTTTGGGAGGTGCAGCCGGGGTTGAATCTGATCCTGGAAAAATTCCTCATCCCGCCGAGGACCCACCGGGATCAGCTCCCGCCTGAGCCCGAGTGCTCCGAGCTGATCTGGGGAAGGATCCCGGGATTCTCTGGGGTGGGAAAAGGGCTGGGATGAGGTGAAGGATCCCGGGATTCTCTGGGGTGGGAAAAGGGCTGGGATGAGGTGAAGGAATCCTTCGGGCTGGAAAAGCTGTGAGCTCTCCCCTCCTGCAGATCAAGTACCACGAGGAGTTCGAGCGGAGCCGGATGGGCCCCAGCCCCAGCGAGGGCTCGGAGCCGGAGCGCCGCAATTCCCAGGAGAGCAGCGGCTACCGGCGAGCGGAGCAGCAGCAGCAGCCCGGGCACCACGGCCAGCCCGCGGGCACCGGTGAGGGGGGACAGCCCAGGGGCTTCCCAAATCCCAAATCCCAGCTCAGGATCCACCCAAATCCCAGCTCAGGATCCACCCAAATCCCAGCTCAGGATCCACTTTTCCCTCCACATCCCTGTTCATGGATCCACCCAAATCCCTGTTCATGGATCCACCCTAATCCCAACTCGGGATCCATCCAAATCCCAGTTCATGGATCCACCCTAATCCCAGCTCAGGATCCACCCAACTCCCAGCTCAGGATCCACCCAAATCCCAAGTCAGGATCCACTTTTCCCTCCACATCCCTGTTCATGGATCCACCCAAATCCCAACTCGGGATCCATCCAAATCCCAGCTCGGGATCCACCTAAATCCCTGCTCATGGATCCACCCAAATCCCAGCTCAGGATCCACCCAAATCCCAGCTCAGGATCCACCCAAATCCCAGCTCAGGATCCACCCAAATCCCAGCTCACGGATCCCCCTTTCCCTCCCCAGTTTTCCAGCAGCAGCAGCAGCCGCCTCCATCCCAATCCTACGGCTACAAGGAGCCGGCGGCTCCGGCCTCGTCCCAGCGCAACGCCCCGGCCGGAGGGGGGGTGAGTGCAGCCCAGCCCCCGTCCCCAGCCCGGATCCCTCGGCTTCCTCAGCCCCGGGAAAAC